GCATACAGTGGCGTGCGTTGCTACGCGCAGCCGCAACGACTCGACCGGAATGTGTATGTTGTTGCTGCGTGCAGCCACATCAACTGAACACACTTCGGTCGAGTCGTTGCGGCTGCACGTAGCAACACACGCCACTGTATTATACAGTATGCGTCGTCGATATGCTCGGATATATCCGTGCCTTACGAAATGCTGAGATGCTCAGCGATCTTAAAACACATGTTTGAAGTGACCATGTCAATATGTTTGGCAAATGATGGCTTTCTGTCAATTAGAACACCCAAGTCCTTGTGTTCAGTCACTTTGTCAAAGGTGTGGTCGCCATAGGTGTAGTTTGTTTCCAAATGCTGACGTTTCTTGTAGATAGCACTGTACATTTCTTGAGGTTAAAGTGCAGCAGGTTCACATCACACCAATGCTTAAGTTTGTCGACGGCTTGTTGCAGTATCTCCGAATCTTGCTGAGATTTGTAGACCAAGAGCCCACCGTACAAACAACTTTTTTTCTTGTGCACTGCAGAAATCCATAAAATTAACATCTTCCCACAATACTCTAACAGAAAAGTACCACTTGTTTCAATGAAATTGGGCGGATCGCTTTATTCGCGGCTTTATTCGCGCTACGCGAAAAAGTATACAGTGGAACCTCGATTATCCGTCCTCCCATTATCCGTCACCTCTGTTAACCGTCACGCTTTGCGGAAGTGAATTTTTTTTCAATTCATTTTACTTGAACATACGGATAATGTCGCCGACTGAAATTCATAATCAAAATCAATTGTGTTTCACTTGTACATTCGTACATTTGAAATCGAAGGCGTTGCTACCGAAAACATTTCTCGTATTGGACAATGCAGCAAATCTATTTTCGTATATAACATATGACACCCATAGAAAAAGAGAACAACTTATGAGCTCTTTATCCATAACTGAGACGGAAAAATCTTAGAGCAAAAACGAGACAAATAAAGTTGCGAGCAAAAGTGAGACAACTTAAATTGTGAAGCTTGTTTCGATTGTCAAAAACGACGAGACCAAAATTTCATCATGTCTTACAAATGGCCAAATTACTATTTGTGCAGTGTTTCAGGAGCTCTAAACGCAAATATTCGATTTAAAAATCGACTTTGCATGATATTATGACACGTACAAGAAAACAAAATTGCTTACGACTGAATTCGAAAACAAATTATTTGAAAACATGTTTTTAATTCGAACTTCTCGCGTCAATTCTAGCGTTTTGTTAATTTTTCCAATTATTGGTGGTTGGAATACACAGGTGCAGGTGTTTTGATTATAAATGAAGTCATTATTCGCCTGGAATTTTTCATAACTAGGAACCACAAGCTCCAATGAGGAACAAATTGTCTAAAAATATTTTGTTTTTGAAATCAGCCAGAAAAATGTGTTACTCATGTGGTTTGCATGCGCAATTTCCCTTGCGTCAATACGAGTTCATTAACATATCCAAACATTTGCACCTGTCAAAATAACAAAACGCGGAAATTGACACCAGAAGCTCGAATTAAAAACATGTTTTCAAATAATTTGTTTTCGATTTCAGTCGTAAGGAGTTTTGTTTTGCTAAATCTTGGAAATTTAGTTATTGTTCAAGTGATTTGACTTTAAACATGTCTAAGCAATTGATGGGTGAGTCTCTTCTTAGTTCTTTTTTCCATCATTTTTTTTAATTTTCATTTTTGACAATACTTGAGATTTCAGTCGCTCATTGTCTTTTAATCAATATTTTCTCTCCGTTTAGTTTGTTTGGTTCTGGTTGCGGTTTTGGGAGACCAATTCATGGTAACTTACAAATTTTTCTGTATATTTTTTGTATTGTGTCGATCGATGACATGAAGAGTATTTTTTCATTTTTCATACAAATTGACTTTTCGAAAACGAAGGAAAACCAAAAAAATACCACGCGATTCACTACCCCAAATTTAAAGCAATATCAATTTTATATTGGCAAATGTTTTTTTTTGTCTCAAAAATCCATTAATTTTACATTTCAATTCATTCAATTTGGTCATTCCAAACTAAGTACCATATATGCGTTCCTATTTTTCAACTTGAAGCAAATTGAATGTGGTGGTGGTGGTGGATTGTTTGACAAAGCAATGGGAGCCATGACACAAGGTAAGATTGAAGCTAAATTTCTTTTCAATGTTTCATTCTCACTATTCGACATACAAAGCACCGTTTGATGCGTTTTCCATCAATCTAACAAAGAATCCAGGCCAAAATAAGCAAAACTCAATTGATTCAAACCATTCGTGACGAATTTGTTGCATTTTGGAAAATACAAAATGTAACATTACATTTAACATTCGTTTCACGTATAATTAGATTAAGAAAAAAACAACGCGTTGAATCATCCATTCCAATCGTCATTGTGATATTCGTATTCTCTATCAAGTAATTATCAGTTCGAAATGAGCATTTGTCTCTGACGGTATTGTTGTTTTTTTCCGAATACTACACCAATACGGAATTGTTTTTTTCAAAAGTGTAACGTGAAATATTCGCTTCAATAAAAGAAAAAGAAAAATTTTCTGGCTGAATTCGGGATTTATATTTTTAAAAATAGGCCAAATATAAGCTTATTTTATGGTTTCTCGACATAGGATACCTTATTTTTACTGTGGAATTGAAGAAGTCCTCCAAATAACTGAACACTCATTTCCCTATCATTTTAGACAAGAACGTGTGGAAAAGTTCATCTCACGGATGTAAGACATTTTCCTTTGATACACTTCACTGATCCATTTTTTTTCTTTCAATTTTTAGTGAACAAAAAAGACGAAAGCGGCCGAGCAGCTCTTCATCTCGCTGCTGAGAGTGGTAGCTCTGGAAAACTAGGCTCACCAAATCGGAAATTGATTGAATATATTTCATTGATCTGTTTCAGGTAATTTGAAGGACGTTAAAAAGCTAATTGTGAGAGGAGCGGAAGTTGATTTGACAGACAATCATCAGCGCAAACCTCTTCATTTGGCTGCTATGAATGGTAATGTTGCACATTTATTTTCACAAAACAAGAGATTTGTTGGATTTTGTTCATTGATCGGTGTTCTTTTGCAGGTTCCAAGGATGTCGTTGAATTTCTCATCACGAAAGGAGCCAATGTTAATTCTGAAGATTACCTTCATCAGACACCTCTTCATTTAGCTACTGAGAATGGTAGTTTTGAATATCTTCATAAATAAGAAATTAGTTTGATCTTATTCATTGACTGGTGTAACTTTTCAGGACGCAAGGATGTCGCTAAAAAGCTTATCAGCAATGGAGCCAAAGTTGATGTTAAAGACTATGGTAATCGGACAGCTCTTCATTTAGCTGCCAAGAATGGTAATTTTGAATATTTATTTACACTAAATAATAAATTGGTTTGATCTTTTTCATTGGTCTGTACTATTTTTCAGGCCACAAAGATGTCGCCAAACTGTGCATCGATAAAGGAGCCAAT